ATCCTTTAAAGGTCTAATAGATAAAGATTACTATTATGATATAATTTTCATTGTTGATATCTCACTTAAAGTACTAATTATTTTAATATTGGTGTAAATTCAAGCATGTTTGTCCATTTTAGGCAAAAAAAAAAAATAAAATAAAAAAAATGTGACAATAATTGTATTGAGATAAAAATAAAAATTGAAAACATACCTCCAAAGCTGGCAAAGTGAATGATATTTTCTGGAAGGAATCTGGTAAGCTTTTCAAGTTTGTAAAGCTTTAGTCTTTTAAATTAGGAAACTGTTGTCCTTTCCTTCCTCTGCAACTTCAATTTCTTCTTTTCATGAAATACTTGCTTCAACTCCGTTGCATCTCCTATTTCAAGATTTTTAAGTTGCATAAGACATGCTGCAACAAACACTGGAAAAAAACATATTCCAATCTGAGCATCTTCGAATTTAAGATCTTATAATTTCGACAACATTTCTCTCCCCTGACCATATCACCCTCTTCTATCTTGATCAGGAACTCCAAACTCTTCACAATCTTCATACCGAAGTGATTTCAACTGCCCCAAAACTCCGGGCAATTGATAAATGAAAAGATAAGTCAATCTCTTGCATTTTCAATTGGAGATCTTCTAATTTCGACAACATGTTCTCTCCCTGCCATCATCACCCTTCTATCTGATCAGGAACTCCATAACCTATCACAATCTTCTACACGGAGTGATTTCAACTGCCCCAAACTCCGGGCAATTGATAAAGTGAAAAGATAAGTCAAGCTTTCACACGATCCACATAAACATCGTAAGATTTTGGAAGGTTACAATATGAATGGACATGGGCCCCTTCCATAATACACTGCAATTTGGTAAGGATGACAGCACTAACTCTTGCTAAACTTGGATGCAACTCAGCATTTTCTTCCCCCACTTGCGATGCATCATCATGCATTTTCAAGTCTTCACAACTTCTAACCTCAAGAGCATTCAACTTCTTCAATCCCTTTGGTCAAATGCTTGGGAGGATATTTTGACAACTGTTACCGTTCCAAACTAAGATATTCTACACTGTGATATGTCTTTAAATAATGCAGTCAATAAGGTTGCATCAATATCAGCAATTATTAAGCTTTTGGTGATCATAAATCATCAATACTTACGTTCACACAAATTTCATACCTTGAAAGTTTGGAGAAAGCAAAGTCTTTGGAAGGCATTTTGAATTTATTTTCAAATACAGAGCAGCCAAGCAAGGTAGATCATTTACCTCTGAAAGCTAGCATTGCCGGTTTTATACTTTTTCTCTTCAACCTTCTTCAAAGATGTCCTCCAGTATATTCTTCCAATGAGAAAAGCTTCGTATCAAATTGGAAGGAATCTTTCTAGCTCAGAAACACCCACGTAAATCCAACATTCTAGTTCCTTAAGTTCACTCAATTCTATTGGTAATTCGCCAAAACAAGAATCTCTAAAGCTAAGAATCTCAAGTTTGTTCAGTTGGCAAGGAAACAAATGTCTCTCAAATTACAACCAAAAACAACTCTAGAGTCTTGAGATTTGTCACAGAATGAAGTGATTTCAGTGAAAGGTCTGCATATCTTAAACTTACAACTTCTAGTGCTTTCATCTCTTGGAAACATTCATCTGAAACTTTAACGTAACCATGATTTTCGCCACCCAATAGCAAATTTAAGCTGTAGGACATACCAGTCTAACAGGGAGCTCTTTTAGTTTGTTTTCCAACAAGGAGATTGTTGTATATTGTTCCAGCCTCTTTCCATGTTTCAACTGCGTCCAAATCCATGCGAATCTTGCTCATGAATATATTCTCCCCCTTTGATGTGATCCACAGACAAACATCACGAACATATATCATGCATTCTCACAAATCTTTTTATGGGCATTAATAGCAAACCCAAAGCCTTTAGCTCTTCAACAATTAAACGTAGGTCCCTTTCTGCTTCTTCAATGGACGAAAACACCTTCATATAAATCTAACCCCATCCTATTCTACCAAATCCTCCAAAGGAATTTCAAAATCCTCAGGAAATAAATGAACACATCAAAAAACACATCGAATTTTATCTCCCTTCAAAATATCATAACTCAACTTAAGACTGGCGTAGACACCTCTCTCTGTACTAATTAACAAGACGTAAATCCTCCAGTTTTAGACTTTTTTAGTTTTTCACACACAGATTCCCATATTCGATATCTTCTTTCCTTCAAATACCTTCCGGTGGTTACAAGTGCTAAAGGCAAACCACCACTTCTCAGCAATTCGAGTAGCCAAAGTATTCAAGTTGGACACAGTCATCATCTATGTGCTTCCGTTTTTAGTAAAGCCACTCCTTGTGTTCCTTTAAAACATCTAGATGAATTATGATTGATACTCCCTATAAGTGCGTTTCTGTAGCGGGTTGTCAAAAAGCATTTTGCAACCTTGCTCAATGGAACACACCCATTTTCTTCGAAATTGAATTCTTCCCAAATATCATCGCAGATTATAAGGTTATTATTAGACTTTGAAAACCTTGAAAACAATCTCTGAGCTCTTGCCCTTCAGTTGCCTCTTAAGTTGCAAATTTAGGAGTTCAGCCAGCTTGCCTTGAATATTATGAAGTTCGGAGGTTTGGGAATACAGTAGCCATCACACCTCGTTAAAGATGCCCTCTTCTTTGACCTTTTTACTCACTGCTTTTGCTAAAGTGTGTTTTACCCACACGCCCATCCCATACAATATAACCAAATGGATGCCATCATTTTAAGTGCCTCCATAATCTTATCAAAAGAATCTGTCGTAGGCTGGAAAAAGTCAAAATCTTTAGGTGCTGAAGGTTCACCTGATAGAGGTGCAAGATTGCCCACTCTATCAAATTGGCCTCTATCTACAATTGCCTTCAACAAAATGTTGTCTTTGTGTTCATACCAAATTGATGTCTAAAAACACAGTTAGGAAACAACAACCATTAAGACAAGTCTTATTAACTTCTATTTTTCCTTTCAAGTCTCAACTTTCCATGATTTTCTCGAATCAGACAAGCCAATCTTGTACAGTTGTTTAAATTTTCATCATTTCTTTTTGCAGCTTCGATTTGTTCCTCCACATCATGTTGTTTCGATTTCAGTTTTGTTCTTTGTTTGTAAGATCTTCAAACAATTTTGTTGAAACGAAATAAGTAACGAGCTTGGTTTATGGTCGGCTCCACCAAGTATTCTCCAACCTTTGATACAATAGCTGTTGCAATCTCTATCAACATCTGTGTTACAATTAGAGAATGCCTCAGATAAAGCAATTATGGAATATCTAAAAAAACTATAGTTAGAGATATGAATTTGTAAAATCAATCTTGTCGGAAAACGTTTAGATAACATCTGTTTTATTTTTATTTAAAAAAATAAAATACATCATAGTATGCTACTATTAATCTACACGTATTCTTTGTACATTGAACGGTGTAACATAATTGGGATTAGTGAACAGGCAAACTAATTTTCATGATTATTTGTTTGTTTGCTGTAGAAAAGAAAATAACTTTAGCAAATACACCTTTGGGAAAACACATGATTTTCAGTAGGTAAGTGTTTTTAATCCTAATGATTTGTATCAAATATGTTGTGAGACGTCCTAGACATTATTAAAATGTGTTAAATCTTAGAGAGAAAGTGTGTGGCCACACATTAGTGAGGCCACACAAAGAGTGTGTAGCTGCAAAGAGATAGAAGGGAGTAATTTGGAGTGCTCGAGAGCTCATATATTCTTCTTTTTGTTGTGAAATCGCAGTGGTTAAATAAACTAACTCCATATAGAAAGTAAAGCACTATAAATGTAATATCACATATTTTATAGGTTATTTTATGAAAATTTATTTTGTTTCCCGGGGGAAAAATGGAGTTTCTAAATTTTTGATGGGGTTTTGCAAGAAAAGCTGTTGTGGCAGAGTCATGATAAGAATAAGAGAACATTGGGGTAGTTTCACAATTTTGGAAAATTGTTTATATAAAAGTGGGCTGTTCGCCTGCATGGAGAAGAATCGAGAAGAAGAAAGAAAAGAGAGGGGAGGGAAGAAGAGAAGAAAGAAAAGAGGAGAAAAGGAAGAAGCAAGGAGAGAGAGTAGAGAGCGATGAAGGTGGCTGGAAAAGTGGCCCGCGGGGGCAAACTCCGGTGACCAGAAGGAGTAAAGGAGGATTAAGCATGTGGGAGGTGAGTAAAGCTTGAGATCCTCTTTGATGATTATTGATTATTTGATTTGTGTTGTTTATGATTGAGTGCAATGGTATGAGATTAAACTGAAAAGGGAAGATTAATTACATAATGTTATGTGGATAGAACATAATGTGGTTTCTAAGCAAAAAAAAATGGTTAAAGATGTGATTTTGATATAAGGGTTACTGTACAAAAAATGACCATCTAGAATTCCGAAAATCGTTTGCATGTTTTGGGTTTTGACTGAAGCTGAATTTCAGATATGTTGTAGTAGACTTCTGAGGAGTGTTTAAAATTTGTTTCACTCAAAAACTCGAAGTATTGGATTTTCTATAGATTTTTAAGTTTGCCCTGCAATCCTGGAATTTGGATTTCTGCAGAACGAGTATTTTAGTAGATGATTTGATGCATCTATTCCTTTTTAAATTTGATGATTTTAAATTCTTCTGAATCCTGTAGGTGCCTAGTTTAATTCTGGAGGTTTGGTAAGGTTTAGATTAAAGGTTAAATTGTTATAAATTTTACTAGTCAATAACCTCAATCTTGTAAGCAGTGGCAGTTTGAAAAGGTTGAAATAAAAATCCTGTTTTAAATGGTTATTGAATCTAGAATGGCTTGGATAATTTACTGGAACTCATATGGGTCTGAATGCCCCATTAAAATTATGGCTTAAATTGATTAATGGAATTTTATGAAAAATCCTGGAGTGATCAGTGTCGGTTAAGAGACAGTTTTTGTTAAAGGATATTAAGTTAATTATGGTGTTTAGATGTCCAATGAATCAATGTTGAAGTGTACCATAGGGAGACTTTTGAAATGGAGACGTCATTGGATTTCAGATAGGAAGACAAGCGCGGACATCGTTAGAGGATTCTGATCCCTTCTTCGGATCAAGAATTTAGCTTCAAAAGGTGAGTGGATCAACCAAAATTCCTTGCTAAAAGTCTGATTTCTGTTGTATGTAATGCGTGGAAGCACTGTGGCGTTTGATGTGTGTTTTGTTGATGAAAAAAAATGCCATCTTGCTTGTGGGTACTTAGTAGACCTGAAGATTTTATGTTTGTAACTTAATGATGAATTGGGAGTGTTGGATATTAAATAAATGAAAATGGTATGGATTGCTTTAGGAGGTTGTGAGATTATGTTGAGATTGGCTTAGTGTTGTTTAATCAAGATCATGATTATGGTTATATTTTGGCTTATGAAAATGTTATATGGATATTGGCATAAAGTTTTTGATATGCATGATTAGGGTTATAGAGCATGTTTGGAAGAGGAACTTTTGGCAGGCATGTGTGTTTGTGTGAAATTGCATAATTTGGATGATTGGAAATTAAATTGTGAGAAATTGCATGTGGAAGGTTATTAAAATGGAAAAATCCAGCCAAATTTTGGGGAGGCCTGGTTGTTTGTTCTTGAATAGAGAGATGAGGAAATTGAAGGGTAATGTTGTGGGAATAACAGTATTGTTGGGATGAAGAAACTTCTTGGTTGGGTTGAGTTGGAGAAGTAGATGTTGGAGTGTAAACCCTGTGGATATGGGTTGTTGTTAAATGGATATAATCTGGTGGTGTGGTTTATTTAACTCTGATGGATGAAGTATGGATGAGCTATAAAAAATAGATGGGCTTGGCCAAATTTAAGAAGTTGTGAGAAATGGGTGTTTGGGTCGGCTTTATAATCGTGAAAAGATAATTAATTAGTATTGGGTTTGTTTATATTTGGGGGGGCATAGGCCCAAATTTCTGTGCTTTGGGTTAGTATTTGTGTAATTGGTGGAAGGATTCCGAAGGGGGCAGATTGTCAGTTTTGCGATTATTGGAGTAAGGCAGGGGGATAATTGTAATGTTTGAAACCTTTGGGACTAAAAATGGGGGGACAAATATGAGGTGTAAATTGATATTTTATAAGTTGGTATACTTCGGAATATTATATCGTATTACATGTGGTTTTATTAATAATATATGCCACCCATATTTGAACACTTGCATGAAGGCATGCAATATTATTGAAGGTTGGGAATTTTGGAGCTGGGATTGTGGAAGGTGATGTGGACTGTAACCAACTTTTTGCATCCACTACTGTTTTATTGTTTTGGTAGAAAGGAAATGTGTCATAAAATGTTGTGAGACGTCTAGACATTATAAAAATGTGTTAATCAATAGACAGAAACGTGGGATAGAAATGAGGGATTGGTGGTCTGAAGAACTGTATGGGAAGGTGTGTGAAGGTAATTTCTCTAGCACATCCAGTAGCCAGGCCTAGGGCCAGTTGGAGGCAAGGGAAATTTAAGGGCACATAGTAGTGGCAATAGAGCCTCTAGAGGGAACAGAGGATGTTGTGTGACAGTGTGGCAGGTACCACGAAGAGTAGTGTTGGGGGTGCAACTCAGTCTGTTTCGATGCAGACCATTTGGACATATAAGAGAGAGTGCCCCAAATTGTTCAAAGTGGAAGTGTATTTCAGAGGGCTGTCCAGTAGGGTGAATGGGAGGGAGTTGTCGTGTTAAGGGACAATAGAGGTCCCAACCTAAAGAAGGGTCTAGGTCATGGCAATAGAGAGAGGCAAAGAGAATTGGGACAACCTTGTATTTAGCCGGTCTACACATGACCCAACAAGAGGCCTAGACCATACCAAAGGAGGTAACTTTTTAGGAAGTCAGGAATGCCAAAGTCAATGTTTTTGGGAAAGCACCAAGTAACTCCTCTGTCTAATTTTAGAGGTGACTATTAGGAAGTAATTCAGAAGGGAGTTAGGTGCAACTGCCTTTGGATACATGAGTGGATGGTATATAGATTGGAAGGTATTTCGATGGTAAGGAAATTGGAAAGTTTAATTGCAAGATGTGGTGGCCATGTATAAAGAAAGATTGTAGGGTTTGGCTCCAGATATTCGTTATGCTAACTAAATGAAGCGAACATCAGAGTGGCACAATGGAAGCGAGTGGGCCATTAACCTACAATCACCAAGACCATCCTTGGATAGAAATTCAATGGAGTGATCATACGGAAGAGGGAACAACCTGAGAGATGAGAAGGATATAGTGCACTGTATCCGGAGGTGTCTAATCAAGTGTTAAATTCGAAGAGAAATTTCTTTAAGGGGGAAGGGTGTATATCCCATATTTATGGGTTATTTATAAAATTTGTTTTGTTTTCTCAGGGAAAAAAAAAAATGTGAGTTTCTAAATTTTTGTTGGTGGCATTTTGCAAGAAAAGCTGATGTGGTAGGGTCCTGATAAGATAAGAGAATCATTGAGGTAGTTTCACAATATTAGAAAATTGTTTTAAATATAGGTGGGCTCTTCACCCAAATGGAGAAGAATCAAGAAGAAAGAAAAGAGAGGAGAGGAAGAAGAAAAGAAGGGAGAGAGATGAAAACGAGGAAGAGAGAGAGAAGAGTAGAGAGTGATGAAGGTTGCTGGAAAAGTGGCCGCGGCGCGGCAAACTCTGGTGATGGGAAGGAGTAGAGGAGGATTAAGCATGTGGGAGGTGAGTAAAGCTTGAGATTTCCCTCTTTGATGATTATTGATTAATTTGATTTGTGTTGTGTTATGATTGACTAAAATGGTATGAGATAAACTGAAAAGGTCAGATTAATTACAATAATGTTATGTGGGATAGAACGTATATGTGATTGCTAAGCAAAAAATTGTTAAAGATGGTTTTCGAGCTTAAGGGTGCTCTGCAAAAACTGACCATCTGGAATTTCGAAAATCGTTTACATGTTTTGGGTTTTTGACTGAAGCTGAATTTTGGATATGTTGTTGTATACTTCTTGAGGAGTGTTTAGAAATTTGTTTCACTCAAAAACTCGAAGCATTGGATTTCTATGGATTTTTTAAGTTTGCCCTGTAATTCTGGAATTTGGGTTTCCTGCAGAACGAGTATTTTCGTAAATGATTTGATGTATCTATTCTTATCCAAATTTGATGATTTTAAATTCTGGTGAATCCTGTAGGTGTCTAGTTTAGTTCTGTTGGTTTTCATAAGGTTTTGATTAAAGGTCAAATTGTTATAAATTTTACAAGTCAGTAACCTCAATTCTGGAAGCAGTTGGCAGTTTTAAAAGGTTGAAAGAAAATTCTGTTTTAAATAGTTATTGACTCTATAATGGCTTGGATAATTTGCTGGAACTTCATTTGTGTGTCTTAAATGCCCCATTAAAATTATGGCTTAAATTGATGAATGGAACCTTTAAGAAAAATCCTGGAGTGATCAGTGTTCGGTTATGAGACAGTTTTTGTTAAAGGATGTTAAGTTAATCTTTTGGTGTTTAAGATGTCCAATGAATTTAATGTTGAAGTGTTACCATTGGGAGACCTTTGCATGGAGAGGTCATTAGATTTCGGATAAATGAAGACAAGCGTAGACATCGTTAGAGGATTCCTATGCCTTTTTTGGATCAAGAATTTAGCTTCAAAAGTTGAGTGGATCAATGAAAATTTCCTTGCTAAAAGTCTGATTTTCTGTTGTATGTAACACGTGGAAGCTTATTGTGGCGTTTGATGTGTGTTTTGGTGATGACAAAAAATTCATTCTTGCTTGGTGGGTACTTTAGTAGACTGGAAGATTTTATGTTTGTAATTTAATGATGAATTTATGTGTTTATATATTTTGGATACTGTATAATGAGCTTGATTTGGAATTGATAGTGATTGAAAACAAATCCAGCCAATTGGTGGGACTGGTTTGCTTGATTTACAATTGGGAGTGTTGGATATTAAATGAAAATGTTATGAAAGTGTTTGATAGCATGATTTTGGGTTATGGATCATGTATTGGAAGGGAACTTTTGGCGTGCATGTGTGTTTGTGCGAAATTGCATAATTTGGATGATTGGAAATTAAATTGTGAGAAATTGCATGCGGAAATGGTTATTAAAATGGAAAAATCCAGCCAAATTTTGGGGAGGGCTGGTTTGTTTGTTCTTGAATAGAGAATGAGGAAATTGAAGGGTAATGTTGGTGGGAATAGAGTTATTGTTGGGATGAAATGAAATTCTTGGTTTGGGTTGAGTTGGAGAAGTAGATGTTGGAGTGTAAACTTGGTGGATATGGGTTGTTGTTAAATTGAATAAAATGAAATTCTTGGTTTGGGTTGAGTTGGAGAAGTAGATGTTGGAGTGTAAACTTGGTGGATATGGGTTGTTGTTAAATTGAATAAAGTCTTGGTGGTTGGTTTATTAAACTCTTAATAGATTGAAGTATGGATGAGCTTATAAAAAGAGATGGCCGTGGCCCAAATTTAAGAAGTTGTGACTTGTGAGTAATGAGTGTTTGGGGTTGGCTTTATAGTTGTGAAAAGATATATTAAATTAGTATTGGGTTTGTTTATATTTGGGTGGCATAGGCCCAAATTTCTTTACTTTGGGTTAGTATTTGATTGTAATTGGTGGAAGAATTCTCAAGGGGGCAGATTGTCAGTTTTGTGATTATTGGAGTAGGGCAGGGGGCTAATTGTAATGTTTGAAACCTTTGGGACTAAATAGAACAAATATGAGGTGTAAATTGATATTTTATAAGTTGGTATACTTCGGAATATTATACTTGTATTTACATGATGGTTTTATTAAGAAATATATGCCACCAATGTTCAAACAATTGCATGAAGGCATGTAATATTATTGAAGGCTGGGAAGTTCACAGGTGGGATTGTGGAAGTTTTATGTAGACCGTAACCATCTTTCTGGTACTATCCCCTTCCAAATATCAACTAGTATTTATATTTGGCCTCATACATGCAATGAGATGGTCCGTACTACTGCATGGTGGTAAAATCTTATCTGGATAGTACGAATGCCTGACGAACTCTAGGCGAGATTACACCAGGCGGGTATTGGTTTGAGTGGGATTATGCCACCTAGTGGGTATTGGCTTGGGTGGGATTTGATGAGATTAGTGGGCGGGTATTGGCCTGAGTAGGATATGATTAGCCTCATGCGCATATTGAGATGGTCTGTACTTCCAAACGATGACGATCTATATCATCCTATTAGAACAGGATAGGTGCCTGATGAGCTCCAGGCAGGATTACGCCCTGAGGATAGACCTTAGGAGGGATTTGAAGGATTACACTAGGCGGGTATTGGCCTAGTTGAGCATTTAGTTGGTTGTCTATATTAGGGACCTTGGGTACTAGTGTGGTGGTGGTGGTGGTGGTGGTTGCATTAGTTAAATGAGTGGAACTTGTGAATATCCAACGGGTGTAGGCTGGGATGAAATTTATGAATATCCAGTAGGTATAGGTTGGGTGGAAATTGTGGACACTTGGCAGACATTAGCGTGAGCAAGAGTGGGTTTCATGTTGGGAATGCCTACTCAACTTTGATGATGGGTGTATTAGTTTTTGTGACAATAATACGATGATCCATGGTAATTGGAAAGTTTGTACATGGTAATTGGAAAGTTTGTATAAGGATGCAAATTACCTTTTTAGGCATGAGTGGATACGAATTAAGGAGATTGTATAAGGAAAGTGTGGTTGCGTTAAGGGAATGGTTACATGTTACATGAAATGCAAGTTTTGCTCATGCAGGTTTAAGGTTGAAAGATATTTTCATTTATAAATTGTATTATCCATTCATTGGGCTTCACAGCTCACTGTTTTATGTTTTCCTCCCAGGATTGCATACTAGGTACGTGAGGTGCTTGCCATAAGCATTCGGTTGGCTAACAGACACATGTTCATCAGCATGATGTCTGTACACATTAGAAGCACTCTGATGCATTTGTTTTGTAAACCGTTTTCTAAGATTTATGTTTTCATAACTATGTTTTGTGTTACACTATTTTCATTAAAGTTATTATGAATGGAGTTGGTAAATTGTTTTTGAAAAAAAAAAAAATTTCACCCTCTCGGGATCTTGAGCCCCTCGGAGTGCTTAGATTCGACAAGGTAGCGAATACTAGTGCAGGGGTGTGACAATAAATCCTTGTGAGTATGGTTTGATTAATTTTGCCCTTTTGGAATAGATTAATGCTAGGTAATTAGCATAAAAAAATCCTATCATATTTCAACGAGTAAAATATGGTAACCTTATACTATTTGTTATTTGTATTTTAGATTAATAATAATATTTAGATAAGATAAACAAATAATCAGTTGTGTTACTATTTTCCATGTTATATAAAATTAAAAAAAAAAAAATAACAGAAAATTTAAATACCTTGCTGAAAAACCAATGATATTTCCGTGAAATGTCAAGCTTTGAGTAACTACCAACAAAGCGTAAGCATCTAGTTTTGACTAGGCTTTTAACTGAAAGAGGTAAGACAAGAAAATAAATAAGATGTGAAGTAATTAACTATAAATTAACGTTTAAAGAGGAAAAACTATGAAACATTAATAATCGTTCTTTTAAATAATTTAATTATAAAAAAGAGGAAAAACTTTTTTTTTTTTTTTTTTTTTTCTGTTTGATAAAAACAAAGTAGATTAAACTTTAGAGTATGCTTTTCGTTGTAAGTTTTTATAAATATTCTTGAAGCCCTTGGTTGATAGTTGCTCAATTACCACCCCAAGAAATAAAATTATATCTAACCTCACTAATATTAAAATTTTTAATACAATTGCTTTTAGTTACTATCATATCTAATCCATTAGTTTCTAAATATCATAAGATATATGTACACACAATTAAACTTGATAAATTAATATTGGGATAATAAAAATTTATTAATTAATCAATATAGTATTTAATCGTATAAATTAATAAATTGTTAATCTATTGAGGTGTTTTTTATTTATTTTTTTCTAAAACATTGAACTGTATATATATATATATTGTGTATATTTAATGTGGTATAAAGAATAACTCATAGTTAATGTATATATATATATATATATATATGTTTTTTAAAATATATTATCTTATAAATTTAACCAATTATTAATTTATTACATTGATCTTTTAAAACCTGACCCAACTCAATCAATTGAACCGGTTCGATCAGGAACCAACAGCTTACCTAGGCCGGTTAGGGTAAAAAACTGAGAATAAGAGTTAACTCGTTTTGACCCACTGTTGGACTAGTGTACTGTAGCGAACCATTCTTAAATTCTAAAATTCAAATCCCTTTTACAATTTTCAATTGAAGACATGAGGCTAATCACCGGAAAAAATAAGACTAATTAACGAAGCCACTAGAAGAAAAGAGAGAATCCAACTCGAAGAAGAGGAGAAAAAACGAGAGGAGTTGAAACTCTAGGCCTTTGCTGCTACGGTGGTGGAGAATGGTGGCGGCACATAACTAATAAGTGAGAAGAAAATGATGATTTTGTAAAGAAAGAAGAGTGAATGTGTTTTGCGTATTTTGGTGTAGAAGGCAGACACCTTTTGGTTAGAGGAAAGCAG